ACGGTCGACGCGAGCCAGCTTTATACTTGAGGTTTAATTCGCGCTGGTCAAATTAATTTGCAAACGATGAACGTGTTGCCGTCCGGCCGGCAGGCGCGGCGCGGCGTTGTTACCGTTGCATTTCGAGTCAGGAGGGTTGGAGATTAGCCCCGTTCATTAAACACGAACGCGCTGCATCCACCGGGGCGAATTTGGCCGCGGCAGATCGCATAGACGTCATCGTCGCCGAGTGCTGTCGAGTTTTCGTACTCTCATGCCTCGAACTGCCCTCTATCTCTCTATATCTCTCTCTTCGTTATCAATCCCGAAATCGGCTACAATTTAACCAACTAAATGCCGAGTTTTAGGAACATCAGCCTCGAGTGCGTTTTCCTTGAAAGTGGCTCCTGTTTGACGAATTTCGACAGAAAGTTTACTTGTGTTACCACGATGGTAATTAATAGTATTATTTCAATGGAATGGTTTCGATATTGTCATTCGGAAACAGTAATCGAATAATTAAAATCTTACTGCCCATTTTCAGAAAAGATACTAGACGACTGTATCCGAATGATAATATCGAAACCATTACATTGAAATTATTCTATCAATTACCATCAAGTCATTTTTCCTCTTTGCTTAACTGAGTAACATAGTACCACGTTCCCGAATAATACAAAAATATCAGTTGCCTAAACGATGGACTTCTAGCCCCAAAATATCAAAGATGGCTATTTCACGTTAAATTAATTTACGTTTATAAATATACTTTCAATAGAAATTATTTCAGAATTATATTACTAATATTAAACGCGGCGTACAAGAAGACCCTAGCCTAACTAAGAAATACAAGAGATCGATGACACTACTCGCAGATATGATTGCATATCCGCGTTCATTGTACTCGCCAAATTAAGCACGTATACATTAACAATGCGGCGGGCATATTACCGTGTAACCGTGCCGCGCGGTACGGTCACGATTATTACCATGAGCATCATCGCCGTTGCCCACCGATCGCCGGTGTTATTGACTGGAAACAAACGTTCGTGTGATTCGTGTAATCCATACCAGCGCGCAATTAATTATCATTCTCTGATACGTTGTAATATTCATCGTTGCATCCAACGCGGGAACTGTTCGTTCGTATTCAACGATGGTATACTACACGATGCGTGTTCGGTATCATTGTCGAGATACCGTACAATTCGTATCAACTACTTCACATATACACGCAACACGTCTCTAATCACGTGTACAGAAGGTAAATTAAAACTCACTTTTACGGTACCAATAGCCACCGCCTTCGCCAGTAATAGAAATAACTGGAGGCCTAGGGGAAGAACTCGAATGGATTCTTTTCCCGTTTTGAGTTTACCTTTATCCTTAGAAGAAATCGTGTCGAATTAACACAACGGAGGAATGAGAGTTAACAGCATTCTTTATAACTACAATACGGTAAGTTTAATTTTTTTGGTGTATGAACAATTTCTAATTAAAAATTATCCAGTGCAGAAACCTTGATATTATGATTTTATTTCATACCCAAACACAGAAAAGATATATTTTTGTACTACAGTTCCAATAATTTAATCACCCACTGTAACTTCGCTTGCGCGTGTTTTTTTTTAATGTGCACTAATGAACACTCTGTGGAAAATAAAAATTCAAGCTCTAGCAAAGCAGGGTACTACGAGACCCCTGTATTTCAACACATGGAAAAAAGTCCATGCATAATATGTGTATTCCACACGATGAAAAAAGGAAAAGGGGGAAGACGTTTCGTTGTCGACGCATCGCCGTTGCGAGGCAAAAGGGGGTGGCAAGCGAGGCTGTTATAGCACTAGAGCGGCGTGTGCCGCTAATATAAAGACAAATGAAGCGACGCGCGAGCTGCTATAGTCGGCCATGTGTCTTTATACAGACAGCGTCCCGTGCCACCGTGAAACCGTGTTCACGGGAAATCTTCTGTCGCGTGTAAACGAACAAGTTCCAAGGCTTTCCAGCGGACAAAATTTCGCAGCCCCATGAATTTTATTAGCTTCCCAGCGGGTTATTTATTCGGAACGGCGACAGATTATATGGCGATATTAGCGGTCGCCCTGCGCTAAGGCAGTGGAAGGGATGTTTCGCTCGCATAAAACAAAGTCCCCGGGTTTTATATCCCGCCCCGTGACTCTTTGAGATTACTTTTTCGTATTAATTGAACTTGCCTCTATTCTCCCTTTTTATCTCTATTCCGCGATGCGCGCTCGTATTCGTTTCGACGTGGAAACTGTTTAAACATTCGAGTGATTCGTTCTGAAATACGATGCAGTTGCAGAAAAAGATAATCCTAGATGGTAAATGTTTAATATCAGTAAACTATTCGTTCTTGCTTGGCAAACATTTATTCCGACGCGAATTGAATCGTCTAGTAAAGCTACGGGAAAGCCTCTTGGTATCGACTGTGTAGTAGCTTCTGAACGTTCCGATAATCACGAACAAATCGCTGGTATCGCATCGATTAAATCTGTTCTATCCGTTGATCTATTATTTTCTCACGGAGGAACGATACGTAGATCATCGATAACCGGGCGCGAACGTAGAGACGCAAACGTGTTTCATTAGCCGGCTGGATGACGAAGAGATGATTAATCAGTCCTCAGCTCTGGCAAGGAGAGGTCCCCAGGTGTAACATTGACTTTTTAATGAAGTTTAACACAGTGATAGAGCTACGAATTCTGAAGCCAATGATATTTGTTTTTGTTAGTGAATATAATATAATAAAATGTAAAACACTTGATTTCTGGGGATGAAAGAAAGAAGAATAATTTATTGGCATAAACAAACCTCCAATGGAGGAAAAAAGCCCTTTTTGTAATTGAGGAATTACTAGCGTAAAAACCCCCGAGGGGGAAAAAGCCTTAATTATAATTAGAAGAAATGTACGACCTTAATTCCGCACGCCGAGGAACGCTCACAGGACAGCACGTCCGTTGTTTCGTGGACAGACTCACCCAGAGATTCACAGTGCACTTAAACTCGACACACATAGACGCCTTTTACAAACAGTCGACAAACCCAGAACGCAAGAAAGCTGGACTGAACAACCCCACGTTGCCCTACGCACACCGGACAACACGTTAATTCGCAACTCTGGTAAACAAAGGAAAGAAATCACACGCGTCGAGCTCAAGCACGCAACATAACCAATATTCGAAAACGCAATGACGCCGGGTCGCTCCCGCGCGAACATCCTTAAAATTACACAGAATCAAGATCGGCGAACAATCAATCCGCTCGGTGACAGTTCACGCGGTCGTCCCACAGGTGGCGATCGGCCCCCCCGCCGAGCAGCCAATCGCGAACGCCGCACAAGCCTCACGGCCCATTCACATCGCAATCACATGTACAAATCACCCGCACAGTTTTACTCATATCTGGCCATTAGTTTATGAAATATTTAAAGTTCACTGCCTAGGAGCCTTCGAAAAGTCGTCGAGGATTTGATGTATTCGGAAAATACGGCATAATCGATGAACTCGTCGTCGCGGATCTGGAAGTGTCTTCGTAGCATCGGTCTAATCGAAAGATACACAACCGCGAAAAATATACAGAAGCTACTCCGCGACGTCCTTAAGCGGGAGTATTAAACGGAGAAACGGCGATGATAAAACTGCCCCCGCGCGCGGTGGCAGAGGGCCGGCAATAAATGTTTCGTGGCTCGTAAAAATGTTATTGCTTTCCGTACACACACCGCGATACCAGAAATCGGTGACGCGAAAGCGGGAAGGGCACTGGCGAAAGTGGACAATCCTAGCCTGTTGCGGATCATCCGCGGAAAGGAACGGCCATGTGGTCGAAGCGTCGTTCGAGTCTAGTGGATTCGCAAATGTGGTTGCTATTCACAGGAAACTTGCACTAGAACTCGGTTTATTCGAAGGATCGTGTGGATGAAACGGTTCAGATGGCTGGGACATTGATTCGATACGGATTCAAAATCACTTAAAGTGTGTTATGCTTTCTTACATTACAAGAAATTGATATTCGCTTTGTTTCTTTACCGAGATATCGATGAAACTTTGAAGACTTCTACCGTTTTCTTCGTTTTTTCGCTCGATGCGTTTACGCAGTAAATATATCGACGTCAAGGCGCGATGAAAATGACGTTGGACGGTGAAAGGGCGGCTGTTTAATAAGGATCGCAAAGTTTCCCTTCAGTGCAGACCCATGTTGTTCACCGGGAAAGTTTCGAAACGCGTGAAAGATGGAAGAGGATGAATTAATATTTTTTCTCTCCTGTTTCGGGTCACGGCGGAGCACGGACGGGCCAAGGATACTCGTAGTAGGTATACCTCGCAATAGCGGGAAATAAACTTTTTCCGCCGCGTACATAAAGTAATACCCGATCCGAGGGGAGGGGGGAGAAGTTGCCGCTCGGCTCCTTTTAGCCCCGGGGAGAGGGCAGGATTGGATGGTGGCTCCCAAGGGGTTAATTTCGTGCCGAAGGGTGGAAAATATTCACGGTTCCTTAAAATCCGACGAGCGGGCTCGTCTCTTACGAGCCTTCTCTGGGGTGGCGTTATACCAAACGGTCACTCAAAATACCACACCCCCTTTCCTTTTTTTCTAACTTGCCCGTGGCAACGATCCTTTAATCCGCGCCAAACTGTCCGGGATATCCCCCGCCCCTCCAGGCTGAAAAGTCAAATAAAATTCATGCCCCTTCGAGATGTAGTATCGCCTTTCTTCTTCAACTTAACGAACAGCCACTATTCTTGAATACTATATACCAGTGTGCTTCTGAAAGTCGAAAGTGATAGGACTCGGCCATTGCATGAAGCTTCCTTTTCAAAACAAAAAAATTTCACTCTAACAAATATGTTATAAGTTTAACTAGCCTTTATTCTACTGAAGTTCTTAATCATCTGAAAATTCAAAATCTAAATTCGCGCTAATGTGGTGTTTACGTATGCTGAGGTTCAGTGTGGTGAATGAATATTAATTTGTAAAATTTATGTGTTCCTTCTTTGTTTCAGTCTATCAGATGTACCATCAACGGATGTACTTGCGACTCCTTCACCCCGGGAAAACGTCACATCCGGTACTGCGACAAATGCCACCACGGCTGGGTACCCCACGGTGAGTATCCAAATCGTGAAAGTTTATAATCCGTAAGATTTCTAATTTATTCTTTCATTAAGATAGTTTCTAACTGTAATGAAGATTTTCTAATATCGTCTACTAAAAGTTTGTCAAAGAACGTACACAAACTGAATGTAGTGAAACGAATTCAAGGCGATACACCCCCGGATTTAAGAATCCATCTTGTGTCTAAGGGTGGGAAACCTGTCGAAGATTTTCTGGGGGGAGGGTGGGTGGCGCCGCGTGCACACGGTTAAACGCAAATTTTCCAACTGTCAGCATACTTCATCCGAGCGGCCCTCTGGGACGAAATTCAATTTTCCGACGATGACCAGTGCCGTCCCTTCGCGGCCGGTGCTCCACCCTTCTCTGTGGCCGCGCACGCGATCCGTTCGTAGCCAGACGCGCGTGTATGCATACGTATCGACGATGTATATATATGTATATATCTATATACATACGTATGTAAGGGGGCGCGCTTTATGCCCTCGTAAGTTTTCGAATGTATGGAAGAACCGTTTGGTCAGTGTTCGTCGTTGCTCTCTCGGGCACACCGCTCGCAAATATACTGGGTGTAGCAGTATACATCTTAACAGAAAACTGATCGAACGTGGTACCAATCATGATTAAAGTGTAACTCGAATACCGTATAAAAATGTGGGAGATAATATAAAATATAAAAAATATTTTTAAATGTGCTTATACAGGGGGACACGAGAATGCTTATACACATTACGCAAGACACAGATACGTGAGAATAGAAGTAGAATATTTTCGAAATTTTATAGAGATGAATTTAAGAGGCATTCAGTCGATATTATAATTAGTTCGTACCATTAACACATAGGACTGCGATACTTTTAACCGAATAGGGTGAAATATCGTTCAAGTTTGAAAAATTGATCGGGACACCCCGTATATTACGGACACAAAGCACCCCATATCGATACGTCTGGGAGGGAGATCCGGATCTACGGCGGTGTGTATCGCGCTTAAAATTCAGGCAGCTTGACCCGCGATAGATTGGACGCGCCGCGGAATACATATCAATTCTGTTCCCACGGGAACGCAGTTGCAGTTTCCTGAGATAGGCTCTTCTTTTTCTTTTCTTCCCTGCGATCGAGCAGGAAAGATGTGTCGCTGGGAAACCATCTTTATTCTTCGAGGCCAAAGAAAGAGAAGAACACGTTACAGGCATTTTTAACGCCATTGTTGTCTTAATGGTATGAGTTAAAATACTTATATTGTGTTCCTGAGAAGTAAACTAACTCGGCTACGAAAATGTTAAAACGATGCGAAAAAGTGTCGATTCTAAGCTGCTGGTCGACGAGAAATAGTCCTCGCAAGCTAAAGAAGTTCCAAATTCATACACTTTGCTATCTGAACATTTTTTTAAATAATCGTAGCAAAGGGACTGAACACATTTCAACGCAAATAAGTTGAAACGAAGATAGATCTTTATTTTTTCATTCGTTGAGAGCACAGCTGCTTAGTAAGGCGACTTTTTAGAAGAAATATTCAGCTTCGATTCTGTGAATCATTAAAGTCATTTCCTCTGATTTCGTATATTTACCTTTACCTTTTTGGTAAATTGTACTAAACGAAGTATTATTTTTTATACGAAATATATTTATACGCATTATGCTACATGTAATAACTGCAAATTCTTCTGGTTCGTCGTTCCAATCGCTCCGATATGGAGATCCCCTTTTTTCGTTCCGAGAGACAATCCACGGTTCTGGCCGAGGACCTGTGTCGACACAGATCGGGGCCGCATTCATCAAAATTGCCCATACAAAAGACGATCCCGGTAATTGCTCACGGGATCGATGCCTTTGGAAACGCCAACGGAGTCATTTCTCTTTCGACATGGCCGATCGGACGACTGAAATTAGAAATCTCCGAGAGGTAGACGATTCGTCGCTGCCTCTTTTGTTCTTAAGCCCGGACCGGTTTCGTTCGGTCCAGCAAAAAACCCTGGTCATTTCTGATCCACGAGGGATCCACATGGGTTACTTCTTGTTTCGGTGTCAAACAATCGCAGCGGACAGAGAAAGAGATGTTGCAACAACCCGCTAAACAGTGGTTTCGCAGAAAGAAAAAGTAACTTATAGTCAATACCATCGACAGAAGAAATATACGGTCAGTCGTTGATATATTTTTAATTCAAAGGTTGAGGTAAATAGTAGAGTACCATTCTTTAAAATTCTACGAGTTCAGTGCGATTCAGATACATTTGAATGAATTTTTGTTTGTTCTGTATGCAGATAGGGGAAACGCTGTGATTCTAGAAGTCTAGAATCGGGTCTGAAATGACTCAACATCCACTGATAGAGAATAAAAAAAAATGATGATAAGTAACGGTATATTTTCCTGACAAATTTGGGTTGACGAACGGTGCAGGAATCCTCGGTTCTCTCGGCTCGCAGTCTCGAAGGTGACAGACGTCTGACGCGAGAGCAAGTCGTGCGCGCGCTCGTAAGAAATCACGGTCAGGGTGTACACTGCGAATGGGGGCCTTTTTAAATTGTAATGAGCTGCCAAAGAGTGAATTATGTCCCGTCCAAGTGCCATCGAGTCCTCGAACGGACCCCATCCTATAAAAGTCCGTATATATCTGGCATCCCCGTGCCGCGAGCAGCCACCCCACGTCATGAATATATTTACATTGATCGTCCGTCTCGGCATTTTTCATTTGGCCCGTCGTTGTGTCAGCCACCGCCACCACTCTCTCTCTCTCTCTCTTTTGCTTTCTTTCTTCCACCTTCTCTTTCTCTCCCCATATCCCCCGATACTTTATTTATATCGATGGGACGTGTCTGTCTCTTCGAGAAGGTCCGCTTCAATACAGTTTTCATCGGAATACCCGTGTCGTATCCCACAGGCGAGAGGTGATCCCGTCCACCGCTAATGATTCTTTCGTCCTTCTTTCATAATCTTCCCCGGAAGTCCCTCGAGTCTCTGCTACGCGATCCGATACCCGTGTCCACAAGGATTTCTGGCATAGTTCCAGTTCGTTCGTGCTTATATTCGGATTGAACTCGTCCAACGATCGTTTTACTCCGGGCACTGAAAGCCCGTCGTTAAAATTTTACTGTGTCGTCTGTCGTGGAAAATATGATGGGAGTCCAGAGCTCACGCGAGTCTTAAAGTCGCGTAACTCTCTTCCTGGTTCTATCCCCGCTTACAATTTACGAATTTATCGTCTTCGCTCGGTTTAAAGTAAAGATTGCAAGGGATTGTGACTGACCCGACGTATGTAGATATACTCTGTTTCAAGGATCTATCATCACTCAGACTAGTTCCTACGATTCTACATTGTAGATGCTTTGTAATGATGTAACGTGATGTAATGTTTTATGAAATTTGCAATTAGTCGACACGAGCTACCAGGACAGACTAGTATCTTCGAACGTTTCTTCCACAGTTCCGCCATTAACCAGTAGACAGTAATTATGATCACTGACGCTCACAATGTTCTTTAATCCCCATAACAGCTTCAATATATTCCGAAACGTCCATTGACGACATAATTACCGTACGAGTATCCGTTTCGAATGTACCAGGTCTTTGTTACGTTCCTGAAAACGCTTACCCCGCCACGGTACAACGGCTCTTCTTGGACGCATCCTTTAGCGTTACACACGCGAAGCACGCGCGCGGAAAGAGTAAAATTCAGTCAGAACGTACGTGCATCTAATAAATAGTTCAAGCAGCCCGGGCCGATTAACCGACGGGTGTGTGCACGGCAGAATTTCTTTCTGGTCCCGTATAACCTTAGACGGTGGAGAACGGATACGCATACTTTAAATGAAAGAGAGGAACGAGCAATTTAGCGTGGCCGGCCACGGGAAAATTTCACGAAGTTCGCCTTCCAATACTTTACGTGCCTGGAAACCAGTCATCTACGTCGTCCGCTCGCGATCCACGATCCACGCCAATTAACTGTTTTTCATCGTTCTGTCCGAAGCCAGGAGGGCCGCCCCGGCATCTCGTCCACGACCTCTTTCCCGATGCATCGCGTGCACCGCCGCCACCACCGCGGTATGGTCCCCCTCGATCGTAGGAGCCATCGATTACGCTTCGATGATGATGACTGCCGCTGTTGCGCGTAGCCAGAACGTATCGATAGGGTTCAACCGGTGTGTACCTCTTCCAATTTCTACGGAATTTTAACAGCAGGATATAAAGGAAGTAGAGACTGAGGAGGGTCAAATACTTCGAGTCACTGCCCCGTATTTCAGTTTCTTGTAAACTTCTTAGTCGCCGATGGAAGATTTTCTTTTATACGCTGGATGGATGTATATTGATACTAATTGATATGGTTCGGCGGTGTGCCTCTTCCAGTTTGTACGGAATTTTAATAGCAGGGTGTAAAGGAGGTACAGACTAGAGGGGAATCAAATTCCTGGAGTTACTGCCCCGTAGTTCAGTTTTTGTTAGGGATCCTGTCATTTATACCGTCAAAAAAGGCGCTATGACTGTATCGCAAGATGCATTAATTTCGACGTAGCGTCCCCCAGGCATGAGAAGACGCAGGGGGCAGTTTTCGCGCCCACCTCGCGTTCAGAACACGTCTTACTGTAGAAACCTCCGCGGATCTAAATATACACTACTAGCTAAAAGTATGGGACCAGAGTTTATGATTGATGGAACAGTAATTCAGTATTCTGTTACGGATATACTAAAAGTTACAGAATCACTACATAGACAAATCATTTTTTCCAATCAATTTAATCACATTACTAATATTTCCCTCCTTGAATTATCAGACTTGGTTCCATACTCTTGGGCCGGTAGTGTACGTATAATTATTGTATGTAATTAAGTGTTTTACTTCAATCCCTCGCGTAAAACTCAAGGTTCTTTTAAACCTTCTTGGCCATCAAAGGAACATTTTCCGCGATACTAAGGATACATCGAAACTATTTGAGAAATCTTCTCCGAACGATTCGGAAGTGAAGGTAACGTTCCTGTTTGACGCGACAGGGCTGAAACACGCCATCTGCGTTCCCATCTGCGCCGATGATTCGGCAGCTGTATAAGACCAAGAGGAAGGGGTGGCCGCCG